ATCCATTTTGCCCAAGTCATTAACATCCTCAGAAAACACACACCTATAATCTTGAAGAAGGCGAAGCAGTCTGTCCGATTGTGCTGAGTCTAAATGGTGTACATCTGCTCTCCATCTTGCCAAGGCCTCCAAAAACATTGAAGGATCTTTCGGCAATATCTTTGATGTCAGTGGGGTTGCACCCACCTCATTGATTGGGGCAACATTACCGTCCTTTCCAAAGGGATCAGGTACCGCATCATATTCACCTATAGTTGTCGTGTCAAACACCCCCATGTGGGTGCCTTTATAAAGTCGTCTTGGAGATGTCTCTGGGTTAAGCACTCTAACTTGAACTGATTTCAACACATCTGCAACACATCTGCTCGGCAAAGCCCATTAGCCGCTACTACATGTTTCCGAGACAGTAATTTAGTGCTTGGGGTAAACAACCCAGATATGGAGTTCAAACGCATTGGTAACCTAGCTTCCACCCATGCTTCACTTTGCCCAGGTAGGATGACATCTCGAGCCAGGGTGATTTTACACACTGCATTCCTATCCTCAGATATTGGGTTGAGTTTCAATGACTCATCATCAAGCCTGATAATGCTATTCTTTTTTGACACTGACCATGTATCAAATTGATCCAAGACATCACGTCCAAGCAAGGCTGTCTTGGTTGAGCCCTGGATAACTGTCGTGAGCAAGGGTAGAACCCTGGAACCAATAGATATTGTTAGCTGAACTTGTCCTGCTACTTTGATACCTGTGCCATCTGCTGAAACACATGTAAAAGACTCAGGTTGTGACCTCAACTCAATGTCTTCAAGATGTTGTTTGTAGGTATTCATGTCGATAACTGAGATCTTGGCACCTGTGTCAATTAGCCATTGCATTGGACGCTGCACATCACCTTCTCGATTTCCAACTCCTACTGTTACCATGAGACCAGAAGATCCTTTTATCTCAGCAACCTCATTATTCGAGGAGCCGCTAACTGGTCTGTTGGAAGACGAATCTTTCCCATCTGTAGTTCCTGTCTGGTTCGATCTCTGTCTATTACTAGGGGATGGACAAGCCTTAGCCATGTGGCCTATACCTTGGCAATTATAGCATCGTACACCTGATGAGGTTCCTTGTTAAGTAAAACAATTACGAGCTATATGCCCTGGCTTACCACAATGAAAACACGAAACATTACTCTGCCTGGGCTCAGATGTTGACTGTTGGGTCTTGAGTGATGATACAACAAGATTCTTTAATTCAAGTAATTCTTCCCGAAGTTGTGAAACTTGGTCAGGTTGTTGTACCACTGGAGGACCCACCGCTCCTATAAGTGATCCTTGATCCTCTGACTTGCTTTGCTTTGTTGCCTCCCAAACCCTGGTAGCCAATGTCAGCAGAGCCTCTTTGTCTAAGGAATGCACATCACTCTGTTTGGACATATCTTCCAACAGCTTACTTGGAATGGACTGGATGAACTGCGTCGTTATCATCATAAGTCTGGCATCCTGAGACACCTCTGGATATACTAACTTGGACTGTTCAAGCAACTTAGAATAGAACGTCTTGGGTGTATCAGACCCTAGTTGCATCTTAGTATATGTCTCCATTGCTGCTTTCCTTGTAGGTCGCACCTCAGTACCAATGGCAGCTGTCAGCGTCTTAAAATCTATATCTTCGTCTTCAGTTAATATCCTCTCATACTCTTCGAGAGGCTTGCCATCCAGAGTAGTACTGAGCATCACTATTTTGGTCGGTTCTGTCCAGTTATTGGCAGTTGCTACCCTGCAAAAGTGTTTCAGCCAGCTATCCCAGGTTGTTGTCTTACAATCAAAATTCCTGGGAGTGACTGCTTTTCTGTATTCTCTAGTAGTACTGTTCTGTTGTGCTGCTGGGGGCTGAACTACGGGGCCTGGTTGATCCCCCGCTGCAAGTGCCTCATTGGCACCAACTTCCCCATCTATGTCATTGGGCGGTTCTGCCATACTTACTGCCACCAATGTAATTACTCACAAATATAAGTAGTTTTAATATGGAAATATATTTTGAAACAATGTTAAAGTAACATATACATATATATTACATGTACAGTAAAAGGGTGGTTATACCACGAACTCTCAAAGCGGTTATTTATGAAACCAAATAACGACAAGTAATGGTTACTCACTATTTCTACTTGTCTGTGACGCTGGTTACCCAAACTATCTGAGATCCTTACTTAACCTTGTGGTACCACTAAATCAACTGAGTGATCCTAACAACTACAGTGATAGCCTATACTATCTACTGGCTGTGGAAACACGGTGTCTTCATCTGAATTAACTAACTCACTAACTCTTTGTCCTGGCTCACAGCGAATCCCTATACTACCTACTGGCTGTGGAAACACTGTGTTTTCATCTGAATTAGCTAACTCACTAACTCTTCATTCTACAAGTCCTAACACTTAACTATATTCTAATAACTCATGAACTAACATTAACCTATAACGGTTACATACTTAAAATATTGTTCTAACAACTTCCCTATGCTATGAATGCATAGATACTACTTAGTGGTAAGTTTTCAGTTATAATATCTCATTTGGACATAATGACCCATAAAAATGTGCATATATCAGACAGAATGTTGCTGATTCAATGATAATAATCAGTCAATGTATACTGGGACACCCTGTAATAATATTAGCGATATTCTAATGTTTGCTGGTAACGGTAACTCTTATCGTCGCTCCGGTACAATGAAGGCTTTGTTTTGCTCAACGACTAAACTCAGCACAATCCTTCTATATAACATATAATCAACTACTCAATCTGGCCTTCTGTGCAAGTGATCAAGGTTTATTGTACCACACTATAATAACTCCAATATGTCAATCATTGAATGATATGCCATCATAATGATCACGGTATAATGTTACACTCTATAATGATATTGTGCTGGTATGCTGGTATCTTAGGCTCCTATATTGTCGCTCTGGTTCATATTCTGTCTGGTTCTTATTGTAATTGTTGATCACAGCAAATTGTGACATACTATTATTACTAATGCCAATCTGTTAATGCTATAACACCATAATAGTCAATGTATATGGGAATACTCTGTATCGATAATCACTGATACTCATTCTAGTCTCCAGTTCACGTGTAAATACTGAACACTGTTAATACACACTATGACTACTGCTGAAGCACTATAACTACTCGTGCCAATCAATTAACGTTATAACACCATAATAGTCAATGAATATGGGATTACTCTGTATCGATATCTTCCTATGAATCACTGATACTCATTCTGGTCTCCAGTTCCCGTGTGAATACTAAACACTGTTAATATACACTATGAATTCTACTGAAGCACTTTAACTACTAGTGCCAATCAATTAATCTTATAACACCCTAATAGTCAATGTATATGGGGATACTCTGTACCGATATCTTTCTATAAAACACCAATACTCATTCGGGAGTTGAGTTCACGTGTGAATACTGGACACTGTTAATACACACTTTGATTATTACACTAGGCAAATCAGTTAATGTTACAAAACTACATCTACAAGCAACACTGATCACATGCTATAAATCGTGCAATTTGTTGCGTATCTCAAGGTATAGCTGCTATATTCTGTAAAACAAACCACCACCACAAGCGTTAGTATAAGGCCACTGGGAAGAATAATCTACTATACTCTATACCTGAAAACACATAAAAATATACCATATTACATATTCACCCATCTACTTACCAAAAAAGTCCCAAATCCCCCTCTTTCAGTGTTAATTTTGGATTGTGCGTTTGATCTAATTATTTTTTTAAAAATTAATTCAATCTGAAGTTTGAATATACCGCGAAAGTCCTCCTTTTATCTGATCGGTCGTTGAATTTGTTTATCATGAACCTGATTGGCTGCCTGGTTCAAGGGGCTTGTGTGACCCAATGGGGATTCCCCTCGCTAGCCGAGGAATCGATTGTGTTTAATTCTGGAGTTTGGTTGTTCCGTTGATTATTTCAATATTTCGGCAACGATATACCCAAAAGATAAATCCATGGTATGTGAGATATTATATGAGCAATAGCAATAGGACATCATTGATTGTTTGGGGGGGAAACCTATGGTATAATGCATCTTTAATCAATTGTTATATAGGATTTATTTTAGCTTTAATCAAAATTTCATTTCAAAATGGCCTCCATTTTCTGATGAGTGAGCTGTATAAATGATGGATCCATTGAGTTTGAGGTTCTTTCTGAAAAGAAATTTTTAAATATCAAAATCCATACAATGCTTCAACCTCAATATAATCCCTAATATTCTTATTATAAATAGTTAAAAAAAATTATTAAATAGGAGCTCTATAGGTAGGTACATGTGACACTTTTCTAGAGTACATAGGAAATCAACAAAGTCACATCTAGCTGTAAGCTAGTGACTTTAGTAACAGTTTTTAACCATTCTGAACTTTTGAGTAATTTTGGCCATTTTTTGAGTGAATAGAGTGAACCTCACCTGGAAACTTTAAAAAGTGAACCCCCCTTGGCAAATCCTGGCTATGAGCCTGGTGTACTTAAAAAACCATACTCTTCTCACCTTCTGTTCAAGTTGTGTCAGAATTCCTATCCCAGAATTCGAGGAATGGACTGTTTTATTTTTTGATCACAATGTTACTACAATTTTATTCATTAAGATTAAGAACAATGTCTAGGCTACAAATAAAAATTCATACTTTGATGAGATTTGATTGAAGTGATTGGAAAATAAGGAGAAATAAAGAATTGATCTAGACAATCTGACAATAGAAATTATTTGAAAATCTTCAATTTTAAAAACTGTTTTTCGAGGTGCGTCACATAAAAAATCTTGCATTGTTTGATTTGCAATTTTGCAACCATGTGCAGAAATGTTCAAACTGTGTATTCCTTGATTGGTTCAAATTTGCTCTGTTGAATAGAATATATGTGAGTGTCCCATTTTCTATTGCCCACCCTGTAATTTCATGATTTCATTTCAGATGGAGAAAATGATCACACGTAGAATGCAGGCAGTGAACAATACAGCAGACATACCAGCAGACATGGTGGTGGTGGAAGAAGAATCTGCTGCTACAGAAGGTAATCTTAGTTCTATACAGTCTGCAATGTAATCCATATGTGGTGAACATGCTTGTGACATTGCTAAAAATGTTTTATAGTTTTCAAAAAGAGGCAGATTTAACATGTAAGCCAATGGCAAATTGTCCCCTTAAACTACCGGTGGTGTCCAATTAACTTTTGAAAATATGCATAGAAAATATGCATAGAAGCCATTAATGAGCACCTGAATACAAATTGATGACATATTGACCAACATTGATTTTTAAATGATTTTCTTCTATTTGTTTAGATGGATCAATGGAGCCTGCTCAGAAAAGATTCAAGAGTGAAAATGTCTCAGAAAGAAATGTTGAACAGTCATCAGTCAAGGTATATTTAACACAAGGCAGTCTTCTGGCAGGGTTCTTTTCTAATGGCAAGAAATCCCAATTGGATGTCAATTATGACAAAAATATGTCCAAAATATCCAAGTTCATTAACCTTTAGCATGCTGGCTTATTTTAGCAAATATATCCTACGCGACTGGCTTATTTTTCAAAGAGTGCAAAAAATTATATGCCTGGACTAAATAATTAATATCTCAATAAATACTGAATGAATCTGGATAAAAGTTTCACAAAGGGAAAATACACAGGCCTGGCTCATGAAAAAAATGTTCTCATGAATTTTTTTCATACCTTAACACGACTGGGCATAAATATACCATGAATACTCCTCCGGAATCCGCCGCTTCGCCCCTTGGAAGATTAAAAGTCTGGTCAGAACTCAAAACTGAATTTGCAGCGATCGAATGATCAATTTTTGAGTTCAGAAAATATTCTAGTTTCTATTTCCGATGACCATTATCGGCTTTCAAGAGCCCAAAGAGCTCGAAATCGCAATCCATTTCCTCCACATTTTTGTTGTCATCATATTTTGCCGCCATTTTGTACGATTTGTTCACTAAAAACGACTAAAACACTGTTTAAATTGTTCAATTGAGAAATATTTTTCGAAATATCGCCATTCTAGGTCAACAGGAAGTCATGTGAGGCACTGAATAAATCGAGCAATCTAATTGGATCATAAGAATGGCGCGAAAAAGTAAAGTTTTTAAAAGTTTGAAATCGGGTGGATGGGTCCGCCGGCAGTCACACGGGATATCAAAGCATGGGCGGACTCACTCGCCGGCAGCATGCTAAAGGTTAAAGAGCACTGTCTGATAGCAGCACAGTGAGAAGACCATCTTGATATATTTTGCATTAGGAGATGTAGAACAGGTTCATCCATCTACTTGCCAACTCTCAGACACTGACTCCTACATTTATGGTATCAATTTCATGATTGCATGCATAAATGAATAATCAACTGGACAGTCAGAAATTCAAAAAGAAATGATCCAATCTGCTCTGAATCTGATTTGCTGCTAGGGTTCAAGTCATTTGGTGATGCCTGTGTCACTTGACGGGAATTCCCTTTGATTGTGAAAATGTCAAATGTTGCTAAATTCTGACAGTTGGTTGTTCTTTTGATTTTCTCAATAAATCAGCGATACTTTTGTGCCCATAAGATAGTCTCAGAAATATATTAAGGTATTTAAGAAATCATTTAAGCAATTTTAATTGGATATCACTGATTGTCTGAGAAACGAATCTGCTGTTTTTAACTTCATGCAGGTGTGTTAAAAATAATGCTGTAGTTTTCTCTGTAGTGTGAGAATGTAATTCAGAATTTCCTTATCCCAAACATTATTTGAATCCCAAATTATGGCATATTATTCAAATTATTCATTTCAGCAAATTCTGTTCAACATTAACCAAGCCATTTGCCTACGCCTTGACAACATTGAAAGCAAGTTGGAAGTCTTGAACAATCGAAGCAAAGAGATGGAAGGAAAGATAGATCAAATAACTTTACTTACTGCTGGCCTGGGGAGTGTACCAAGCTCTACACCTATTAAAAAAACAGTCAAGTATGTTTGTGCATACCATTTTACTCCATAAACAACTATATATTAAACTTGGATAATAATTGTTGATACCAGTCAGATCTGACCCCAAAACCCTACTCCATAATTATAAACAAAGAAATTGGTGGAAAAAATGGTTTCAATAATATTTACAGTCCTTCAACTCTTTAGTTAGAACCCCAGGTAGCTTATACTCCACTACCTTTAGAATTTTTTTTTTTTATGAACATACATGTAGAATGTTTTATATTTCAGTCATGTTGCTACCAGTGGAGGCTCCATGAAGAGAGGGGGAGCAGTTATTGTTGGCCTTCCACAGGAGAAAGCATCCAAAGGTACACTAATAGCTAAAATGAACCCATGCTTTCTCTTAATATAGTGTTGCCAGAGATGGGGTTAAGGCAGGGAATTGAGTTAAAAGGTGCATGCATAAATCAAGGGAAAATTTTGTGGTAATTTGGTTGAGAAAATATTGAAAACTTGTTATATGTTTGCAACTTTAAATACCAATACATCAATATTACACATTACCCTTGACACACTTGGTGGGAATAATTCATTTTCAAATATCAAGGAAAACCAGTATTTCATGGTAAATACCATAGAAAATTCCATGTTTTTTATCATGAAATACCGGTAATTACCATGGAACAGTTCATGATTTTTTACCATGAAAGGTCGGTATTTACCATGAAAAACCGGTATTTACCATGGAAAACCGGTAATTACCATGACAAATCATGGAGACCATGGGTTTTTTCTTAAGGGTATATTCATAATATTAATCTTTACTGTTCGCATTCTATTCAAACATTGACTACATGTATCATTCCTAGGGAATGAATCTGAAAATGATGATTCTGACTGCCAATCAGAGGTGATGACCACACCCACACTGTCCCAGGAGCACTCGCAACAACAATCGTCATCTCTTACTAACCTTGGCCCTAATGTCACTTTGATCACACTCAATACTGAAGGTAAAAATTGTTGATTAGCTTCAAGTATTAACTTATGTTTCATACTGTAAATTTGTCCATTTTCTGACAGAATACACCTTTTTTTATGCATTCATCTGCTTTTATAATGATTCAAATTCATTATAATAAGGCATCTTATATAATTGTAGCATTCAATTCCTAAATTATTGTTTTTGTAAATTTGTTTTAGAGGATTTTCCAACTGGGTCATGGCTAGGAGATGAGCATAATCCAGAGATGAGAGTTAGGGTTCCCATAACACCCAGGTAATGTCTGCTCAAATGTACTTATGTTAATGCTTACATGGCTTTAATCATTTTGTTTTGTTGAAAGAATTGAGAGTTGTCTGGTTTTTATGTCACCACCAAGAAGTTATGGTCTCCAGTTATTTGTGGTGCTGGTTGGCTTGTGTTGTGTGGCAGGCGGTGGTTAGCGTCTGTAACAAATTCCTAAAACTTTCAATAACTTAACAGATACTGTTTAGACTGACTTCAATTTTTTTCAAAATCATGTACAAGTTTTCAGAAGTTCAAATCTGACTTTACATCTAAGATTTGACCTGCAAAAAAGGTTAAAATAGGTCTTTCTCAACTTGCTTCAAATGGACCAATTTTTTTTCAAAATAACATACAAGTTATCAGGAGTTCAAATCTGACTTTACATTTAAGAATTGACCTTCAGTGACCTTCTCAAGGTCAAAGAAAGGTCAAAAAGGTATTTTTTAACTTGCTTCAAATTGACCAATTGTTTTTCAAAATCACTTACAAGTTCTCAAAAGTTCGAATCTGACTATAGATTTGACCTTCAAGGTCAAAAAAAATTTGACTTTCAATGACCTTCTCAAGGTCAAACAAGGGCGTTACAATACCCGGGAATTTATTGGTTCGTGCAGTACTTGTTTGTGATAGCGCCCTCTGTAGGTCACTGTGCTTAATAGCCTACAGTAATACGGGGTAGGATATCGGGAATTCGGTCAGTTTCTATCCGTCGATTACGCTATGAATTGAAGCAAGTGTGACCACTTTATCCACTTAAACAATTTGATAACTGATCAAATCTTTAAACAAAATCGATAAACACGTTATACACTTCCTATATCCTTAGAAATTAGCATGTATTTATGGATTGTGTTTTCGAACAAGGCTCGACCCAGACCAATAGGGAAATCCTTATGCTAATTAGTATGACGTCATATTTTCCTGGGGAATCCTAGATTTCAAAGCCTCAGTCTGTCATTGTGTCAAATGTAAACGTTCTTTTGCAGACAGAAAATTGACAGATTAGCTTTTAACTTTCAGCTTTTGATGTTTAAATATTCTATATTTCTACCGGACTTCTTGCTGAATATCATAAAATGACCATTGCCTGATTGATCATTCAGAAATTTTGATTGTGATTCATGATTGATTGGCAAGAAAAATAATTCCCATTGTTTTCCAGCGAAGTCAAAATGTTAGACTACAGCATGAGTTATAATGTCGAGTTTGCATCATGTTAAATTCTACAACGCCCCCCCCCCCTCATGATGCTTACTTTATCCCCGACCTTTACCCCCTTGCTGATTCGTAAGTGAGGTATGCCCGGAGGTATGCTAGGTTGGGGCCCGGGGGTTGGGGGCTCGTGCCACAGTCATAGACCAGTCTTACTTCAAATGTCTAATCCAATCTTGACCCCCAGAGGTACCTGGTGGGACAGTTATCGAAGTTCTTCTTAGCCCTCTGGAAATTCCGGTAATTGGCTATAGAGACTCGAGTTAGTGGGAAGAAGAATAAAGAATGGACGGGGCCAGGCTGAGGGGATTGGTGCCCTACTAGCCCCACCAATTCACAAGCATACACATAAGAGACAAACACACCCAGGCTCCAGGCCGTGGATGGAAATATAAAACTATTTAAGGTTCAAACTGGTATTTAATAGACCGATATGTAGTGTCTGCCATGTATTGAAGGTAAAATAATCTGCATTATTAATGTTACTTCTGTCAATACATGGATTGTGCAGTGGATAAGCAATGGCACAATCAAAAATGTGCATATCAATCGTGAATATCTCTCGGTTCAAAGCTTATTTCCAACAGAATCGTGTCAAAATATGTGTCTGAGTAACAGTTATACATTATAAGATCGTAAACTCTTACCAATTATCAGCCGAATGGCTCATTTTCAACGAAATGTCCTTAAGGATGT